AAGATGGGCTACAGAAACCCAATGGAATGACATCACTCTACGCAATCAATTCCGTCTCGGATTATCAGAAGCAGTGAAAGATGAACTCTCTCGTACTGAACTTCCTCCCACCCTAAATGCATTGATTCAACTTTCCATTAGTATTGACAGACGTCTAAGAGAAAGAAGGGCTGAAAAAGTTCACACTACTTCTAACTGGAGAAAACATTTTACTTCTCCAAAAATTCCTGAAAAAATTCTTCCTCAAAATGAACCTATGGAAGTTGGTATAATAAGAAGTCCTCTTACTTCTGAAGAAAGAATAAGAAGGAGACAACTAAACCTATGTATGTATTGTGCTTCAAAAGAACATCTAATTCCAGAATGTCCTCTACTTAAACATTCAAAAGCTGGTAAGCTTAATTCATCTACCTCTATATTGAACGTTCTTCAAAAAAGAAAAACATCTACTTATTTTTCTATATCTCTCATATTACAGTGGGATACAAAAAGAATCGTGACTGAAGCCATTATTGATTCTGGTGCTAATGGAACCTTCCTTGATTTTTCTTTTGTTACAAAGAATAAAATTCCTTGTGTTCGAAAAACCAACTTTGTTCCAATCAGAGTTATTGATGGTTCATTTATATCCTCAGGACCCATAAAAGATGAGACAATTCCTCTAAGAATGATTACCAACAACGAACATACCGAATTTCTTACATTTGATGTTATTAAATCTCCACTTTATCCTGTCATTCTAGGAATTAATTGGTTAAAAACCCATGATCCTCTAATTAAATGGTCATCCTTCTCCATTTCCTTTTCTTCTGATTTTTGTAAAAAAACCTGCTTACAACATATTCCTATTCTCCAAACTACTCAAGAATCAGTTATACCTCCATTCTACTCTGATTTTGCAGATGTCTTTTGTAAAAAAGAAGCTGAAACACTTCCACCTCATCGAGTATATGATTGCCCAATAGATCTAATACCCGGTGCTCCTATTCCTTATGGTCACATTTATCCACTTTCTGAAAAGGAATTGCAGACCTTAAAAGAATATCTTAATGAAAATTTACGTAAAGGATTCATCAGACCCTCGACCTCCCCGGCTGCCTCTAGTATATTCTTTGTGAGGAATAAGGACCAAACCATCCGTCCCATTATAGATTACAGAGCCTTAAATAAAATAACCATAAAAAATCGTTATCCTCTTCCTCTAATAAATGAATTACTTGAAAGATTAAGGACTGCAACTATATTCACTAAACTCGACCTCCGAGGAGCATATAACCTGATTAGAATAAAACAGGATGATGAATGGAAGACCGCCTTCCGGACTAGATATGGTCTCTACGAATATCTAGTGATGCCTTTTGGGCTTTGTAATGCCCCTGCAACATTTCAACATTTTATAAATGACATTTTTAGAGATCTTTTGGATGTCTGTGTTATTATCTATTTAGATGATATCTTAATATATTCTAACAATTTGGATGAACATAGGAAGCATGTAAGATGGGTTCTATCTAGACTGAGAACTCACAAATTATACGCTAAACCAGAGAAATGTCTTTTTGAAGTTACTAAACTCTCCTTTCTTGGATACATTATTTCACCTCATTCTCTGAAAATGGATAACTCCAAAATCGAATGTATTACTAACTGGCCCGTTCCTACTACTACAAAAGAATTGCAACGATTTCTTGGATTTGCAAACTTCTATAGGAAATTTATTAGAAACTATTCAGAGGTATCTCATCCACTTAACCTTCTTAACAGTACGAAACGTCCTTTCAAGTGGAGTAAAGATGCACAAGCTGCCTTTGACCGATTAAAAAAAAAGATTTACAACTGCACCTATTCTACAACTACCTAATCCAACATTCTTATATGTCCTTGAAGTCGATGCATCTGATACAGCTATCGGAGCAGTTCTTTCTCAACAAAAGACTCCTCAAGATCCACTTCATCCAGTTGCCTTCTTCTCAAGATCCTTGAGCTCTGCTGAAAAAAATTATCCTATTGGTGAAAAAGAATTATTAAGTGTTAAAGCTGCCTTCGAAAATTGGCGTCATCTTCTAGAAGATACAAAACAACCTATAATAGTTTATACAGACCATAAAAATCTTGAATATCTCTATACTAACAAAACCCTTACGGCTAGACAAGTTAGATGGAACCTATTTTTTAACCGATTCAACTTCCAATTAATATACAGACCTGGAACTAGGAATAAAAAGGCTGACGCTCTTTCTCGAATTCCTTCTAAAACTACTGTTGATGTTTATCCCCCTAACAAAATAATAGGGATCCTCTCTTCTCTTCAGGATGACATAAAGAATTTGAATCACAAGGATCTTGAACTTCCCAAAACACCTAATTTGACAAAACAGGATGGTATGTTTTACTTTAAAAATAGAATTTATATTCCTCCCATTCTTAGGAACAAATTACTTAAGATGGTTCATGATTCACCCCTAGATGGACATCCTGGAATAAAGAAAACTCTTGAGCTAACTTCACGATATTATTGGTGGCCTCGCCAAGATAAAACCATTGAATTATATGTCAAAACTTGTCCTATCTGTCAAAGGTCCAAATCTGAACATAATCAACCTTTCGGATTACTACTTAACTTACCCATTCCAGAAAAACCTTGGCAATCCATTTCTATGGATTTTCTCGTTGACCTTCCACCATCCCAACAGTTCACCACTATTCTTGTTGTTTTGGACCGCTTCACTAAAATGTCCCATTTCATCTCTTTAAAAAAATTACCCTCCTCCGCAGAATTGTCCAAAGTCTTTATTGATAATATTGTAAAGCTTCATGGTCTTCCAGAAGAAATTATTTCTGATAGGGGGACACAATTTACCTCCAAATTCTGGAAGGAGATGTGTCTCTCTCTTCAAATTCAACGCAAACTCTCTTCCGCCTATCATCCCCAAACTAATGGGCAAACAGAGAGAGTTAATCAATGTTTGGAACAATATCTCTGATGTTATTGTTCATACCTGCAAGATGACTGGACCACATGGTTACCTATGGCTGAATTTTCTTACAACAATACCATTCATTCTAGTACGAAAATGACTCCTTTCTTCTCCAACTATGGTTTTCATCCGTCCTCATTTCCCATCCAAACTATTACTTCATCCAATCCTACGGTTACATCAAAAAATGAATTTATGTCCTCTCTATTCCTCAAATTACGGGAGAATCTTCAACTCGCTCAAAACTACCAGAAAAAGTTTTTTGACAATAGAAGAAGAATTCCCCCTCCTTACAAAGTAGGGGATCTTGTCTGGCTCTCTTCAAAAAATATTACCACAAACCGTCCTTCAAAGAAATTGAGCTCTCTTTTTCTTGGTCCTTTTCAAATAATTACAATTATCAATGATAACGTTGTTAAATTAAAACTTCCTCCAAGTTTTAAACTTCCTCCAGTATTCCATGTCTCTCTTCTTAAACCACACATCCCTGATCCTTTTCATAGAGAAATAGTTACAACTCCTGAACCTATTATCGTCCAAGGTGAAGAAGAATATGAAATACACAAGATTTTGGATTCACGTGTCCACCGTGGCACCTTACAATACCTTATTAGATGGAAAGGTTATGGAGTTGATGAAGATACTTGGGAAGATTCATCTAATGTTCATGCAAAAAAATTAGTTGATGCTTTTCACAAACGCTATCCCTCTAAACCAAAGTAAGTGCACTTTCAGGCTGTGGAGCTGTTTATCAAGTTCAGCAGCCATGAGAAGGGGGTACTGTCAGGTATACTCTAGCATTCATGCTGCCGCCGGAACCCACTTCCGGGTTCACAGCACTTAGCCCCGCCCCTTTCTCTGACGCGGTCCTTCCACGATACTTAGGAAGACCGCGCCAGATTCAAAGGGCTGGATTATTTACTCAGGTGCTGCATTGAGATCAGCTGCTCTACTTGATGCTACCGGCTCCACTCCTCTCCCGACCTCGGCTTGTAAACAGATTTCTACCTTCTCCACTTCTCGACCTCGGCTTGTAAAACGGACTTCTACCTTCTCCACTCCCAGACCTCGGCTAGTAAAAACGGACTTCCTTACTCTTCTCCTCCATTGGGTGAATTAACCCTTCCATTGCCAGAACTGCCTCTAAGTTAAGTAAACCTTTTTGCCAAGGAAACCAATTCATATTAATTAATTTATACAGTATTTAAATTTCACTAAAATTCTCTCTTTTCAATAAGGGATTGCTACTAAGTCTAATTCTTCCTGCAAATATCAATTTATTCTAATTGCAAGCCTGTCCTGCTTCATTAACATAATTTTCATAAATCATTCCATCTTAATTAAGTTGGAACTAGCATTGCATTTCTTCCCTGCATGTGTATTTAAAGATACTGTCAACCTTGTTCACTTCAATATAAAAGGAGGTGAAACTTATTGTTTCTGCAGTTGAGTTCCAATTAAAGAAGTATTACAAATAAGTATCACAGTATGCTTAGGCTGTGTCATAGTTGGTCCCTAAGCTATAGTCGTGGCTATCTAAGTAGTCTGGCATAATCTTAGTTCTATGTGTACGGCCATAATATAATACACCTCTGTGGTCCCTGTTTGTCCAGGGGTACAGTTTCCCTTGTTGTGGAGGTGGGAGGGGGAGGTAATATCCTGTATGCCAGTTGAGCCTGGTTCATTATGTTTGAAATTGCAAGGTTCAGTAATAATATTCAGGTAGAGAATAAAAAGAACATTCGCTGGCAGTGTTTTGTCCGCTTTGGATGGGTGTAGAGTGAGCTTCAATCTGCAGGTTGTGGGCCGAGAGTCTTGATATATGAGGCTTTGCTTGTACCCAGGTGGGTCAAGTGGGTTCTGTGCCGAATGAGGGCAGGTATGAGACCGGTGGCTGGCTGAGATATAAGGTTGCTGGCCACTTGATTTCGAGGAAATGAAAAAAAAGAAAAATTTAAACATAGCTTCAAGCTGGTGTAATGTCCTTTTTTGAGACAGAATGTCTTGGTAAGGGTGTTCGACCTTCATGTGGTGGCAGCCGCGTACTCTCTTTTTCCCTGTTCCCCATGTGATGAAGGGAACGGTCTTTGCTGGGTCCCATCGTGGTTTATCTACGGGTGGTTCTGGTGCAGCCATGGGCCACAACCCCTCCAGTGGTAGTCCGAGTGGGCACAGCAGGGCGGTAGCTTCTCGGAGGTCCGAGATGGAATGGACCTGGTTGTCGTGCTTTATCTGTAATGTGCGCGGTGTGCGCCAGCGATAGTTGATACGGTGGTCTCTAAGCAGTGTGGTGAAAGGTTGCAAGGATCTGCGCCACTGCAGGGTGTCGCCCGATTGGTCTGCGTAAAAAGACAGGGTCATGGATTCGAAGCTGTAGGTGGCAGACCCTTTCAGGGCCATGAGGACCGCCGTCTTTTCGGCCGAGCTTTTGAACCTTACCACGTGATCTCGGGGGTCCGCTTCCGGCGCTCTCCGGGGTTTGGGGATTCGAAAGGCTGATGTTTCTGGCTTGTTTGGGTGCCAGTAAGGCTCCTGTGAGCCGCCTTAGGAGATGAGGGATTCAAATTTTTTCTTCAAATTTTTGCAGCACCGTACATCCTCCATTGCCATGAAGCGTTGCTCAGTCCTGGCCTGTTGCTGTGTGAGTGCCTGGATTTCCTTCCTGAGCTCTGTGATGTCTTGCGTTTGTCGCTTGTAGGTTGCTTCTACCACGTTGATGCGATTTACCAGGCATGTGAAGTCTGCTCATAGCTGTGCGACGGCTGCCTGGAGGGTCTTCTGCAAGCCTCCCAGCAGGGTTTCTAACAGTGTCGCTGTTACCGGTCCCGTGTCTTCTGGGCTCGATGTCGGCTGTTGGGGTCTCGTTGGAGGTAAGCTGCCAATGGCCTCTTCGGGGAAGAATCAACTGTCAAACTCCGCCACCCTCAATGTATCTTATTTACACAGACTAATATCAAATCACATTTATTGTAGTTTAAAGACATATTACTGTGATTACTATTACTGTGGAGCTCTGTTGTACACTCAGACACACCAACAATATGGAGTTCCTAGAAAAAGAGGGACAGAGGGATTTGGGTCCAAAATAGGGACTGCCCGTCACAAATAGGAACATTTGGGATATATGTATACTTAAATTAATCACCAGAGTGATTCATGGCATCCATGAAATAGTGGGCTTTAATCTTCTTAGAATTTCATGAAATATTCTGAAGTTTTGGTGTGAGCTGGAATAAATCCCTGCCTTTATCTGCATATCAGATGCAACCTGGGGCTCCTCTCTTTGAACAGTGGCCCGATTACGTGTCCCCCAAAGTTACTGAATAGATACGACAAGTGCTCATAGTGATATTAAAACTTTGGAGAGAGCTCAGAGGAGGGCTGCTAAACTGGTTCATGGATTACAGGATAAAACTTACAAGGAAAGGTTAAGGGATCGTAACATGTATAGCTTGGAGGAAAGACGAGACAGGGGGGATATGATAGAAACATTTTAAAATATAAATGGAATCAACACATTAAAGGAGGAGACTGTATTTAAAAGAAGAAAAATTACAACAACAAGAGGGCAAAGTCTTAAATTAGAGTAGCAAAGTTTTAAAAAATGATACCAGGAAGTATTACTTTACAGAGAGGGTAGTGGATGCATGGAAAAGCCTTCTAGCTGAAGTGGTAGAGGTTAACACAGTAAAGGAGTTTAAGCATGCGTGGGATAGGCATAAGGCTATCCTAGACTAGGGCTAGGGACTAATGAAAGTATTTAGAAAATTGGGCAGACTATATTAGTTCTTATTTGCTGTCACATTCTATGTGAATTCTGTCATATCCTTTTAAAATAATACGGTGAACTTCTCATTCGCTCATGCCTTTGTGATGTCATCAATGACATCGCTAGGTAAGGACGATGTTGAGGAGATAACCACCCTGGAAGAAACTACCTGTGTACC